AAAAAAAAAAAAGTATAGTTGAGGCACTCCATAATAAGGACAAGATGGAAGTGTTTGCTTCATCTGGAGAAATATACAAGAATTTTCATTGCAGAATTGTTCATCAAAACCAAACTAGAAAGTACCTAAACGTTCATCCACAGTAAAATGGATAAATGAACTGTGAAGTATTTACAAAATGTAATATTGCAAAGCAATGAGAATGAGCAAGTTAGAACTGCATGCAACAATAATATTTATGCCTCCCATAAACATAATATTGAACAAGAAAATAAAGTCACAAAATATAGTACACAGTTGTTCAAACACTTTACATGTTTTAATGCATTTATTCCTCTGAAAATCTTATTAAGTGATTGTTTGCCTCTTCCCTCTTAGTCCCTTGTTTCTAGTGGGGAACAGTTTTTCTATAGAGGGTGTTCCAAGCAAAGGTTATTCAGATCTGTCTGGGGTCAATAGCCTGGCCTGCCCTGAATGGGAGGTGGGGCAGACATTGCTCAGGTCAGGATTTGGCAACCACTATCAATGTTTTTTGTGTCTGTGGTCTGACATAATTCAGTCAACCACTGAGTGATTATCTTACGCACACAGAGTTCCATGCCTGACTATGGTGAATGGTAGAGTAGAAATGGCACAGAGTAAACATTTACTGAGCTTCTACTGTGTGCCGGGCACTGGGCTTCGTGCTGGGAGTATGATGATCAATAAGACCAGGCACTCACTTTCTTCTTTAAAGAATAATAATGAGAGCTAACATTTGTTGAGTGCTTACATATGTTTGGCACTCATCTAAGCACTATACATGTTGTAGCCCATCTAATATTCACAATAGCACTATTATTAGCTCCTTTTTACAAATGAGGAAATGGAAGCACAGAGAGGTTAAGAAACTTGTCTAAGGTCACAGAAGAAGGAGACAACAGAGCCGGGACTCAAAACTAGCCACTCTGGATCTAGAACCCCTTAATCACTATTGACCCCAACACTGGGAGGTAAGCATTAATCCTGCTTTACAGCTGAGGAAAGTGAGGTTCAGAACTAATTTAAGCACATATTCATGGAGCATGTTCTATTTGACAGAGACTATATTAGGTGATTTATATGTATTATATCTCTAACCTTAAAAAGAGTTCCCAGGAATATAAGGGAGGATACCTGTATGCAGAAAGTGGTTTCTCTGCTTGCCAGCTACACCCAACAGCCTCTTGGAAAGAACCAAGAGTGCTTGGGTGAGTGGAAGTGGACTGTAATTCTCAGTCTCACCTAGGCTTCTAGATGAATAAGTGAAACTACTGGTAGAGAGGAGGAGGAAGGAGAACAGGAGGTTGGCTTTT